ATATATATATATATATATATATATATATATATATATATATATATATATATATATATATATGAAAACGGTAACACAAATATAGAAACACCGTTGTTGAATAAATGCAGTTGTCAACAGCATTGTTTTATGTGCACAAATGAAACAAATGGCGTAACCGACCATTGGAAACACTGAGTGATATGGCTGTATCGTAAACAGCGGCGCTTGTGCGCCCTCTCAATCTCTTTGCAAACTTGGTCTAACACTTTGGGATTGGTATCAACATTCAAATCTTGGATTCCACCAACACAAATATCATGAAAAGCCAGTAAACCATCGGTTTTTAACTGAAGAAACAAACTGGATATGTTCACGAAAATCGCCGTGTAAAGTTGCAAGAAGCACAACAGTTACGACGGTACTTTATAGAGTTTAATATAAATCGGAATTATTCCAGAATTAAATCGTTCTCAATTTCGTTTCTCAACTTTCTATTCAAGTTTATCTGGGAAATAACTGCTTAATAAATCGGTAGGAGAATCAAAGAAAACGCTCAGTCTGGTAACACTGTGTTCTACTTGAAAGCAAATTTCCAATAGGCGAAAACATTTCAACGTACCAGCTGAACAATTCCCAACTTCAGATGGACTAGCCCGTGTACCCAAAAGTACGGCACCCGTAGTAACATTGACACAGAAACAGTCATGCTCGCTGCACTGTCTCGCCTGAAATAGATGAGGCCTCCCCGGATCACATTTGGGACGATAGGGGACAATCAAACCCAATTCTGCATACGGGTCCGGTCGAGAACCATCAAACAAATCTGTTCCACGAGATTTCGCATCCACAGCTCGATAGGTTGCCTGACAGTCCACTTTGGGGGAGTAGAAGAGTACATGAAAAATTAGTCATGCGAGTGAACAGATAGGTTAAAATTTATTTCAAGCCTTATTTAGTCATTAGTCACAATGACTCTTCGAGGCAACAAAAAGACAAACGGAACGATAAAGTGCCGCCTAAATTCTGAAACGGCTCGTCTGAGGAGAACATAAAACGAATTCAAATACGCTGATCACCGATTCACTATCTATCTTATCGAATTCATAACTTAAAAGGCAAAACTTTAAACCGCAAACAAATACAACTACTGAATGATTAGGTTGTGAACAGACGATGGAAAAGAGGTATGGACTGGAACGGAAAATGGATTAGAATAGTTTTCAAATTTCGAAATATGCCCATACTCGCATTTAGAACACAATTTCAGGCGAACAATTGCTTTTATTAACTCATATTCGTGCCGTTACGGTTTATATGAGGGGAGAAAACCTACGGATTGGGAGAACAATAAAATGTGAGGAATCGTTCACTTCGGGTGTGTGCATTGCACACCGCATTCTCAGATCTGTTCTTCCGGGGTTTACAGTTTTGTCAGAACGGGGTCACATAACCAACGCGACATAACAGAAAATCCCGGAAGCGCAGATCTGAGAATGCGGTGTGCAACATACAGAGAGAGAGAGAGACACACACACATACACGAAGTGAACGATTCCTCACATTTTATTGTTCTCTTCCCAACCCCTAGGTTTTTTCTCCTTATATAAACTGTAATGGCATGATTATGAGTTATTGAAAGCAATTGTTCGCCTGAAATTGTGTTCTAAATGCAAGTATGGGCATATTTCGAAATTCGAAAACCATTCTAATCCGTTTTCTGTTCCATTCCACACAGCAATTAACCTTGAACCGTCGCGCGGCGATTTTAGTTGATGTCTTTTGGTTACCCATGTAGATGAAGGAGTAGATGGACGAATTAGAATCTCGGGGAACACAAAGGATTTTGGCACGATTCACGTAAATATCACCCAGCGGATCGAACTGCAAATTACGCTGACTCCAAGGTCCACATTCAGGCCTACCGCGAAATACATGACAGAGTCCCCGACCACGGATTTCATTCAGCCCTATACCAGATGTTAGCTCAACCACTGTTAACTTTTATCCTATTACTTGCCTTAGCAGACATCGCAAGTTGAAGAAGCCTATAAGGTGGTATATGTAACTCATGTCACACATGTACACGTAATCTGTGGAGATTGGCACTTAATAAGTGACTGCCACTGTCTACAATTGTGTCGGAGCTCATTATTACCTGTACGGTTGCCTTAATAGATTTATGTATTGCAGAGTAGACAGCGCTGCTTGAATACTAATGGTTTGTCGCCGTCTTGTTCTCGTAACGGCTAAGCCTCTGCACCACTGATCAGACCCCGGTCGAACTGCTGTAGCACACAATCGACACTTCACAGAAAGCCGGATGTCGCGACGGCGACATAAAAGTCACAAGTTGGCAAATGCCAATTGAGCCTTCTGTATGCTAGCCCACACTTCATCGCCTCCGAAAGCCTCGTCAAGGTCGGGAGTGGGTGGCTTGGGTAGTGGCCGGTTACTCTTCCCGCTGCACCTCGCGAAATGCTACCATACGACCAAGCGTTACAAATGTCCTCTACTGAGGAAGCCAACCCACTGCCACCACGTGGCGGTTTTCCCATTAAAGGGAGAGGACAAAAAGCCAACATCCAGGGTTAAAACCGGGTGAACCGGTGAACCACTGGCAGTTCATCTAGTGCAGTGGGCTAAAAAACCTGATTCCAAACCAAACAAGAGGAGGCGAACGCACACCTTCAATGCAGCAGTGATCATGGACTATATTAGGCACCGGGGTGCATTGGGCACCTTGGATGTTTGAAGCCGTCAAAAGGCTAAGAACCGATGAACTGAACACAGCTCCCTAATGCGATTAGGTTTTCCCACACCACCCCGCTGCTTTGCGGTTCAGGCTCCGACCTTCGCAACCCGATAGTATTACGCTCACAAGCAAATCACGGAAATATAAGAAGTTGTAAAAAGTAATAAAGATCAATGTACCGTGATTTGTTTGGCAAATTGTCTGGCATTAGATGTGTGAAATACACATACACCACACTTCATGCGTGGTGCGTCCACCAAGTGAGATAAAGCAACTTGAATAACAAACCTTGTCTACTTGCTCCACTACTTCCCGGTTAGAGTGAGGCTGGAAGCTGGACTAACCCAGGCCCGTACCAACATTTTGCACGTTGAAGGTGCAAAATGCATACCGAACGTGGCTACTCTAGCACTCACACTGTCCGGAAAAGCTTGCAACTTACCTGGATCTTCACTTAACAGTACAATATCGCCTGCATACTCCAGAAGCCGATTTAGAGCTTACGGCACGTTTTCGCCCGAGTTGACCACAGAAAGTGGTATTCACCAGAGCCGCCTTCTCTTTCCTATTTAACTGTTGTAGATTTGATTTTGGAACTAGCCCTTTCCTCGCGCGAAGATAGTGGCATCGATTTGCTCCCATATGGCGGACTGTGTGATCTGGAGTATGCAGACGATATTGTACTGTTAAGTGAAGATC